TGATAAAAGAGGTAAGTGACAATGTGAAAGGTCTCTGTCCAGTTGGCAAGACACAACCTCCTGCTGAACTTTAATATTAAAGAGCAATGGATTGGAATGTGAGCTGAAATGGAGACAAAATAAATGTGGAAATAGCTTCATTTATTCTATGCAGCTAATCTTATCCATCCATTGAATATAAACATTAAAAAGAGATATCATAATAATTTTATTAATAAAAATAAATATAGAGCTTCCAAAACCATTGTGCTTCCAGAGGGAAATTTGAAAATTTGCAATCACACAATATTTCTCAGATCTATTGAAAAGATATGGAGGCTGTTCAGCAGGAGTTGCTTTTATGCCTTCAGTTCTTCATAATCAGAGTTATTTTTGCCCTTCTTCCAAATTTAAGTTATGATTTTAGAGATTTTTCTCAATTATTTTAATAAGCTATAAGGGAAAAAATATCATCTTCATTTTAGATATGTGTGATTTCATGACTCTTCATCATGCAATTTAGTGAATGAAAAGCTTAAGTACTCTTACATTATAGCCTGTCAATTATTTTGTACTTTTGGAAAAAAAAGAATTTCTGTACCCTATTAAGAGATAAGCTGCCTTGGTCCACAAAGTCCTATAGTACTGTGATGCTGCAGTACTATTGAAGGCACTCTGGCCTTATGTCCTTTGAGGGTGCCCCATACCCCTGCCCACCTTGCCCCATTTCTAGAGAATACCAAAGGATTCCATCACTGCCTCATCGAGAAATGATTTTGGCAAGTGACAAACACGGCCTCCTTAGTTGATATGATACACTATATTGCCCACCCCTTTATGATAGCAGTGGCAGGTGACAAGTTTTGGATGCTACTTTTAACATAGTAAACTTCTGTCTTGGACATGTAAGTCTGTGAATGTGTGTTCCTTTTTAAGTCTGTGGTTTTTGACATAATTATTCCAAAAGTGTAGTCAGTTCAGAATTACCCTTGAGCAGATTATCACATTGCGATTGGCCCAATATTGCTTTCAAATTGTAATTGACATTTCCAAATACTCAGAGTGTCAAGTATGTTGTTGACATAAACAGAACCTTTACTTACCACCTAACTAGAACTAGAAGAAAACACTCTCTTTAACCTTGCATGATATTGATTTGAACCAGAAAGTTTGTATTTTCCTACCTTGTGTTAGGGACCAACAAGAAAGTTTCACATAGAAACAGGAAGCAATAAGGCAAAAACTAGAGTTAATACTTTGTAGCAAATATTCCAATTTTTTTTTCTTTGACACAATATGGATATACATCCAAGCCAAATTACAAAACCAAAAAGGATATTTATCTTAATTGACTGCCACTGTTAGCTGTTTGTGAAATTTTTACATTGCTAAGATGACATTGCTCTCCAAGTTGATCTATAGATTCATTGTGGCTCTATAAAAACTCATTGGTTTTTTAGTGTAGAAATTGACAAGCTACTTATAAAATTAATATAAAAATATAAGAGTCTCAGAATAATGAAGTAATATTGAAAAAAGAACAATGAATTTGGAGGACTTACACATCCTGATTTCAAAACTTACTACAAAACTACAATAATCAAAACTGTGTAGGTTTAGATCAATAGAATGCAGTTGAGAGTCCAGAAATAATGCTTTCATTGTTAGTCATTTGATGTTGTTATGCAGATGTTGAGAGAATAAATTTTTGGATATGAGTGATTTTGTGACTCTTCATTATGCAATTTAATGAAGGAAAAGCTTCACTAAATGGGGAAAAAATAATTTTTTTCAACAAATGATACTGGCACAACTGATTGATATTGGCACATGCAAATATTGAGTTTGAAACCCTACTTTATAGCATACATAGAAGTTAACTCAAAATGATAATAGGCCTAAAACTAATAGCTAACATTATAAAACTCTTAGAAGATAATAGGAATAAATCCATGTGACTCTGTATTAGGCACTATTTCTTAGATACAACCCCAGAAACACAATTAACAAAAGAAAAAGTAAATAAATTGGACTTAAAATTAAAAACTTTTGTGCTTTAAAGGACCCATCAGTAAAGTGAAAAGAAGACAAATAGACATTTCTTCAGTAGAGGTACACAAGTGGCCAATCACATGAAAAGAATGGCCATCATCAGCCATTAAAGAAATGCAAATCAGAATCACAGTAGGATGCCATTTCACACCCACTAATATGGCTAAAATTTTTTAAAAAGGAAAATAACAAGTGTTGTCAAAGATGTAGAGAAACTGGAACCTAATATATTTCTTTAAAAAAAAAAGAGAGATAGAGAATTTTTTAATATTTATTTTTTAGTTTTCAGCGGACACAACACCTTTGTTTGTACATGGTGCTGAGGATCAAACCCGGGCCACACGCATGCCAGGCAAGCGCGCTACCGCTTGAGCCACATCCCAGCCCACCTAATATACTTCTAATAGAAATTTCACCTTATGTGAATACCTGAAAATAGTGTAGCCATTCCTCAAACATTAAATATACAATTACTGCATAACCAACAATTTCATTCCTTGTAATTGAAACCATTTCTATACAAGAACTCATATGCAAATAATCACAGTAATATTTTCACACTAGGCAAAAGTGGGAATACTAAAATTGTGGTTGATGAGTGGAAAAACCAAATTTCTAAGATGGAATCCTGTTTGGTTATGAAGTGGCATGAAATGCTGACATATGCTGCAACATGGATGACTTAGCAAATATTCTAATTAAAAAATCATGTTTCCATTTATATGAAATATCAGAAATAGACATATCCTTAGAGTCATAAAGCAGATTAATGATTGGCAGTGAATAGCAGGGGAGGGGAGAATGAAGAGTAACTGCTAATGGGCATGGGGTTTCTTTTGGGAGTGATTAAAATATTTTAACCTTAGTGTTGATGGTTGCAGAATTGAATATACTGAAACACCAAATTGTATCTTTTAAAATGGGGAACCTAATGTAATGTGAATTGTATCTCAATATATCTGCAGTAATAAAAAAAAAAGTGGATCCTAAGGCCTCTATCAGGGTTTTTAGATAATTGTAGCTGCAACCCCACAGATATCCTGTGTTCAAACTTGTGAGAGATCTTGCTCCAGAACTGCCCAGCTAAGCCACTTTCAAGTGACTCACAGAAACTATGACAAACAATAAATGTTTATTTTCTAATCCATTAAGTTTGGGGATAATTTATTACAGAGCACTAGAAAATGAGTACATTGAGTTCTGTATTATGTGTTTGATGTACAGAGAACCAGACCCAATTTACTCCTGTGTGAGACAGACAGATAAAGTTAACAACTTGAGCAAAAATGAGGTCCTCAAATATCCTGACATGTTTGATAGTCACAGATTCAAGTAGTTTGTTAAATTTTATGCTTGAACAATCTGAATATTTTAATAACCTGGTCAATTCTGTCTCCTTTTCTCTGTAAGAATTTATCAAGCTCTTCATAATACTATGAACATTTGGAAGCTTTCAAAGACATTCATCTTTTAAGATTTAGAACCATAAACTATGAACCATTCTTTAATATTTTTTTCTTTTCTTCCCTTTCTTTAATGCTTTGGAGGGGAGAAAAATAATTTTTTAAAAACCTAGTATAGAAATTTTTCACAGAAATGTTTTTCGTGAAATGTTGCTACCAGTCTAAATATGAAAGACATTTTTTAAATCGGTGTACTACATCAAAGTGCTCTAGTTGAAACTCTGCACCTTATTTTCTTCAAGATATTAACCTAGAGCTGGGGTTGTGGCTCAGTAGTAGAGTGCTTGCCTGGCACATGTGAGGCACTGGGTTCAATTCTCAGCACCATATATAAATAAATAAACAAAAATAAATGTACATTGACAACTTAAATTTTTTTTAAAAAAGATATTAACCTAAATTGCTTATATCCAACCTCTTAAACTCATATATTCTCTGACATGTTTTGTTGTAATCATACATCCATAACCATAAAAGCCATCTTTTAGGTGTGAGATTTTGACATGGATCTTTCTCCATGTGTTTTTTCATTTCAGTGAAAATAGAGACTAAAACTAACATTAGACTCTCCCTTTAAAGAGAATGATAGTTAAAGAGCAGCTATAGGAGCCTACCAAAGAACTAATGTCTTTCATAAAAAAAGAATTGACCTCAGGCATGCCTTCTAGAATCTGTCCTCCACTTCTTGTGGTAGCATCAGATGCAGGTTTGCCCCTCTTCCTAGGGTGCAAAGTGACTCCATCCTGGTGTCCTTCCTGATCTTCTTGCCTCTCTGTAATGGCAGTGTTCCTCGCTTAGAAATTAAGTGGTCAGTTTAGTTTCTTTCTGGTACAGGTCATCCTCAAAATCCACCCCATGACAAAAACTCCAGATTTCTTTTTAATATTTCTTAGTTGTAGATGGACACAATAACTTTATTTTATTATTTATTTTTATGTGGTGTTGAGGATCAAACCCAGGGCCTCACACACGGAAGGCAAGTGCTCTACCACAGAGCCACAATCAGCCCTCCAGATTTCTTTTTTCCTGCAATGTTCCCACACACTTTTGAGAACAGTGACTTTTCCAAGTGGCCTTTTCTCAGGAATTCATTTTCTTTACATGTTAGTGTTGTAAGGAGGTGTAAGCAAAGTACAGCACTTTACAACTCATCTCTCTCCACCTGTCACTGGAGCCTTCCCTTTGGTACACCTTTCCCACGCTGGTTTAAAGCACAATTCCAAGAGACTATAGTTGAGTCGCAGGAAGCTAAATGATATATTCCAGAGCTCTTAACATATTGCTTCATGTGAATGGGCCATTTGAGCATTTCAGAAATCAAATGAGAAAGAAAAGCACATTGAAAGCACTGAAAAGATTAACACCTGTTTCCAGTCTTCAAAGAAATTGGAACATACTGTCTATATTCAGAGTAAAACATTTTACTCTCCCATGTTGATACATTTTATTCAAATACTCAGTCTATATGTGCAACATCCACATGCTTATGGGTTTGTTTCACTACAGGATTCCACGAAGAACTTAGAAGACAGAGAAGTTATGAATGGTGTGCAGACAGAACTACTAACATCGCCAAAAATTAAGGGTGCACTGAGGTATTTTCTTTATGCAAATAAGAATGTTTTTATTTATTTAAATTTGATGTTGGTTTCTTTAACACTTTTTAATTGTTCTTATTTTACAGGAAAGATCAAGATTAGTAAAATTGTGGGGTAAAGCATATCCCAGTTCTAAAATTAATTATTCAATTATTCCTTTTTACCCATTTTCAACATAAGGTATGAGGTTTTACTGATAAACATGGATGATCCTCAATCCTTCCAATAATCTTCTGCAACTAGAATTTCTTAATTATTTCTCCTTCTTTTGCACAGCAGTTTAAATGAGCACTTGAGACTTCATTGTGGTTGAGTGGGTTTTTTTATTGTATTTGAACAATCTTACAGTATTTTACTTGACATATATAAAATGAATCCAGTCCATCCACTAGAAATTTTTCGTGTTGTTAATGAATGTGACTCATTATGTGAAGTTAGTTTCACCGTGTTTACCAGAACTTCTTTTTCTTTGTTCTGATTTTCAATACTATAGCCTCAGGTATTCCCTAGATTCAAATCCCAGACTAGCTGCTGACTAGTTCCACAAGCTTAGGTAACTTACTCATCTTTTTTGCCTTGCTTTCTGGTCTGTAAAATGGAGTTATTATTTAAACTTTCAGAGGGTAGGTATGCAGATTTATTATATTCTTAGATGTAAATTTTACATCTATTAAGTCAACACATGTAAAGTGCTTTCAACAGAGCTCTGGTCCAATTGAGTAGTGTGAATATTTGTTGCTGTTGCTCTAACTATTCTTGTAACAATTATCTCTGTTACAGATTAATATCTCTTATCCAAAATGCTTGGGACCAAAAGTGCCTCAGAATTTAGAGGGTTTTTTTTTTTTTTATATTTTGGAATATTTACATAGACTTTACTAGCCAAGCATGTCTAATCAAAAATCTGAAATACAGAGTGCTCCAAAATCCAAACTCCTTTGAGCATGATATCAGCATGCAAGAAGTTTCAAATTTCAGATTTCTGAATGAGAGGTATTCAGCCCATATTATTGTTATTACCATCATGATCATTTTCCCTAAAGTTACTTCAAATTTGGCATAAAGAAGGTAATTTCATATTTAATAGATGGTTGATTTTAGCATTAGAAGGTAATGCTGCTGAAATAGATGGTCATTCATTAATTCAGTCAATGTATTCTTTTCATTAAATTCAGTAACTAATAAGTGCTGATTTGCATGAAATTAGCTTCTTAAAAAAATGGTGATCATCCTTTATTACAATGCTTTACTGTGAGGATTCTCATCAAACTTATAATTTATGGCCACATAACCGTAATTACTCTTTATTTAGATTATTTCCTTGATTAATGAGTTCTATGATATTAAAATCTGGGTACAGAATTTCTCCATCTTTTTATATTTTTGATAAGATTGTTTTATAGAGGTAGTGAATGAATGTCATACTTGTCATGCCCTTATTCTATTTGGCTTCCTTCATTTTTATTTATTTATTTATTTATTTATCTATCTATCTATCTATCCATCATTTATTTATTTATTTATTTATTTATTTATTTATTCGATTGTTTATTTTTTTTTATTTTTTGGGGTACTGGGGGTTGAACCCAGGGGTGCTTTATCACTGAACCATATCCCCAGCCCCTATTTGTTTTTATTACGAAACAGGGTCTCATTAAGTTCCTTAGGGCCTTGCTAAGTTGCTGAGGCTGGTCTTGAACTTACAATCCTCCTATCTCAGCCTTAATTTCACTTTTTTAACATAAGCTTTTTGAAAAGTTTGCCAACATCTTGGCTAGATGCTACATAGATATCCATCATGCAGTGAACAATTTGTTTTGTTTATGGCTGCAGGGGAAAAATCAGCCAAGCTTTCTCCAGGTGCAGGTAATTGAGAGAAATAGAACATAGGAAATTTTAAAAATAGATTTTAAAATTAAAAGATATATATTTAAGTATACTTTGATTATCAAAACAGTCTTTTGCATGAGTTGCTCACTATCACCTTTCATAGGTCAAGGAATTGTAATTCAGAACAATTAAGTAACAGATCCAATCCACACCTTCCACTCTTTCTATAAATCTGTTGGTTCAAACTTTCCCTATTGTATGCTGACTCCTTCATGTTTTATTTTAGCTACATAACCATGGCTAGGAGAAGCACCAGTATAGGAGAAGCCCTGTTGAAATCAGTTTCAGAGAAATTCAGAATACAAACTCCCAGCACTTAACACACTCTGGGGTGGGAAAGGATGAGAGTGACCTTTATATATGAAATGCTTACCTAACAGGGGAAAGTTTGGAGGTGACAATTCTCCCAGAGAATATTGGCTCTAGCTGGTATGCGATGATGAAAAACTGTAAAAGTGAAATAGGAAGCCCCTTATAGCTGAGTTCAGGGTCCCTATCCAGCTGGGGCAGGGAGGCACAGAAGACCCACAGAGCTTAGCCCAGCATAGGACTTTGAGCCTACTTTCATACCAGACACAAGGCAAGTAAATGGTTTGCAGAATGATCTCAAAATATGTTGAACCTACCTCATCCCATGGTCACTGCTCAAGTCTTTATTACCTCTCAGCTAAGTGATTGCAATGACCTCCTAACTCCTCCCTCATTTGGATCAGCATATTACTACTGGATAATGTGTTCTAGATCATAGTGTTTTTCAAACCATTCCTTAGTTCTAAAACCTTTAGATTTAGAGAAGGACTGCTTTTGAGCACTGGCTCTACTACTTATTACTTTTACAATATTGGAATAATTACTTAACCTCTTTAAAATGTTTTCTTCATATGAAAAATATGTATCATGATTGCAGAGATTTTTATGAAGATTAAGTAAGGCATATACAGGCAACTGACTTGGCACAATGCTAAACAAAAGATTAGATAAACATGAATTGCTATTATAATGATTATCATCAGTATTACACATATTACAATTTATTGTAAATATCTGTTCTCCCAAACAAGACTACACATCCTCCAAAGGATTTCTGACACCTAATACAGGTTTTGGAATACAATGGGGGAATATTTATTAAGTGAAAGACTGAATGGGTACAAAAAATTGTTCCATAAATCATTATTACAACTGTAAACTCATCCATTATTATTTTTTTTATTTTTTTTATTGGTTGTTCAAAACATTATAAAGCTCTTGACATATCATATTTCATACATTAGATTCAAGTTGGTTATGAACTCCCAATTTTACCCCAAATACAGCTTGCAGAATCACTTCGGTTACACATCCACATTTTTACATAATGCCCTATTAGTAACTGTTGTATTCTGCTACCTTTCCTATCCTCTACCATCCCCCCTCCCTCCCCTCCCATCTTCTCTCTCTACCCTATCCACTGTAATTCATATCTCTCCTTGTTTATTTTCCCATTCCCCTCACAACCTCTTATATGTAATCTTGTATAACAATGAGGTTCTCCCTCCATTACCATGCAATTTCCCTTTTCTCTCCCTTTCCATCCCACCTCATGTATCTGTTTAATGTTAATCTTTTCTTCCTGCTCTTCCTCCCTGCTCTGTTATTAGTCGCTCTCATTATATCAAAGAAGACATTTGGTATTTGTTTTTTAGGGATTGGCTAGCTTCACTAAGCATAATCTGCTCCAGTGCCATCCATTTCCCTGCAAATTCTATGATTTTGTCATTTTTTAGTGCTGCGTAATACTCCATGGTGTATAAATGCCACATTTTTTTTATCCATTCATCCATTGAAGGGCATCTGGGTTGGTTCCACAGTCTAGCAATTGTGAATTGTGCTGCTATGAACATCGATGTAGCAGTATCCCTGTAGTACGCTCTTTTAAGGTCTTCAGGGGAAAGTCCAAGAAGGGCAATAGCTGGGTCAAATGGTGGTTCCATTCCCAGCTTTCCCAGGAATCTCCATACTGCTTTCCAGATTGGCCGCACCAGTTTGCAGTCCCACCAGCAATGTACAAGAGTACCCTTTTCCCCACATCCTCTCCAGCACTTGTTGTTGTTTGACTTCATAATGGCTGCCAATCTTACTGGAGTGAGATGGTATCTTAGGGTGGTTTTGATTTGCATTTCTCTGACTGCTAGAGATGGTGAGCATTTTTTCATGTACTTGTTGATTGATTGTATGTCCTCCTCTGAGAAGTGTCTGTTCAGGTCTTTGGCCCATTTGTTGATTGGGTTATTTGTTTTCTTATTGTTTAATTTTTTTGAGTTCTTTGTATACTCTGGATATTAGGGCTCTATCTGAAGTGTGAGGAGTAAAAATTTGTTCCCATGATGTAGGCTCCCTATTTACCTCTTTTATTGTTTCTCTTGCTGAGAGAAAACTTTTCAGTTTAAGTAAGTCTCATTTGTTGATTTTTGTTATCAACTTTTGTGCTATGGGTGTCCTATTAAGGAATTTGGAGCCCGACCCTACAATATGTAGATCGGAGCCAACTTTTTCTTCTATCAGACGCAGAGTCTCTGATTTGATATCTAGCTCCTTGATCCACTTTGAGTTAACTTTTGTGCATGGCGAGAGGAGGGGATTCAGTTTCATTTTGTTGCATATGGATTTCCAGTTTTCCCAGCACCATTTGTTGAAGATGCTATCCTCCCTCCATTGCATGCTTTTAGCTCCTTTATCAAATATAAGATAGTTGTAGCTTTGTGGATTAGTCTCTGTGTCCTCTATTCTGTACCATTGGTCCACCCTCCTGTTTTGGTACCAGTACCATGCTGTTTTTGTTACTATTGCTCTGTAATATATAAACTCATCCATTATTGACAAAAACATCCTTATTCAATAAAGAACAATAACATTTAAAGGGAGTGCTCCAAAGAATCCTTTAATATACATGACCTATGAATCATTGCTGAATTTATTTTAAGAAGACAGTGAAACAAGTAATTTCTCTTTGGTACTTTTTCTACAACTTATACTTGGAGTTTCTCTTTAAATACCAAGCAATATGTGGGAAAGACTGTCCCTCATTCCTGTGTCATTCCTGACTCCACCTCATTCCCTAATCCCTA